CCCCGTGGAGGTAGCGCTGGGCGGACTACGTCCGGAAGGCTCGCGCGCACACGGGCCGACCGAATCGGCGCTTATTTTGGCCGACTTTAATCCCGGCTACCTCAGTCCGGACATTGTGGATGTACATCTCTCCGTGCCAAGTTCGCAGCTCGTCTTCTACGGAGCTTTGCTCCGCCAGTTCATTCATGTCAAGGCAAGCTTCTTTTTCCCCCATCTAGTCACTAACCTTGAAGGTCTGGCATACACCGCTTTATCGATTATCCGATAACGTTTACACCCTCTGCCTCAACCGTAGTAGCTGATAGTTAGTCTCTTTAGACAACTCCGTTTCCATCGCTAGGCCCAATCCCTTAAAGTGTGATTGGCTTGGACACGCGACGTAAATCAAGTAAAAGTATTCAGGCGCCTGCAGTCCGTCATCAGACGCTCCCCGCGCGCCGTCCTTTAGCACAAATTATTTTTCGCCACATCGTGACCAGTTTTAGGATCCACTAGGCTGCCTTTTCCTTCTATTCTGAAGTGCACCGTATTTATTAGAAATAAGCACGCGGTCACCTCTCTCGTCATCCCACAGATTTTGCCTCCTGTCTTTGTGACGGCGTTTCTCCAGAGGGATTCAGCCTGTTCCACATTGTCGTCTTCTATTGCGTTCGGTCGGTCGGTCGGTCGGTGGCTGGCTGGCTGGCTGGCTAGCTGGCTAGCTGGCTCGTGTTCATTTTTTAGCCAGTTTTAGTATTCAGTCAAACAAATGTTAGATCACAGGAATTGCCATGTGGCCAGGGTCTGCATACGCTTCGTTTGCTTGTATCCTGGGTGTTCATCGCACGAAAGTCAGCGTCGATGACGGCGTACTTCGATCGATACGGTGACCCAAGCGCTATCAGCTTCCGGCCGACTGTGTAGATATTTGCGGGATCTGCAATCGAAGTAAACAGACAGCAAAACAACTAATCGAACACTTTCGACGAAGAAGGAGAGAAAATGCTGTAAGAAGTTTCATCTTCCGTGGTTTTTGCACTTTTTGCTGATCAAAAGCCGATTCCATGGGGTGTTTGACGAAGACCAGCAGAGTCCGAGCACTTGGTTTATGTGTTCTTTTTTGGCATCCTTTCCTTTCGGCGAAATATTTTCCTAGTATGGCAACAGCTTGTGAGTTACGTGGGCTAGCTCCGGCCCAGTTGATGCCTTCGTTTGCTAAATCGGGGCTGGTTATGTTTTAGAAGGATCTATTTTAGGGACAAGTTTTGTTTTCGCGCCCAGTTACATATCTGCGAAGGCTCGCTTGTCGAGAAACTTGGTTCAATGCGTAGCCTGACACCTATGGTGAAAAAAAGACATCCCTAACGGACGAGGAACAGTGGATGAAATGACCTAGCCTCCGTTTCTGATTAATTCAAATGCCACAACCGCATTCAGCAGGACTGATTTCAGGGAGTCCGATGTATGGCCACGAGTGTTTCCGCAAAATTCTGGAAATATATTGCGTTAATCTGTTAACTTAGAAAGTCAGTTTATAAGGCAAAACATGTTTTTCGGCAATCATTCGTCAGGCCTTTAACTTTACAAAACAATGAACATTTGAACGTGTACAAAAATCAATAAGTGTCCTAGGTGGGCGCCTATTGGCTACTGCGGACTTTGCCAGTCTGCTCAATTGGTCGGCATGTTGGGTGAGCGACTGCCACTCATGGCTGGGGGCGATGTGCTATCGTCACCTGGTGTCGGCGTCGTCCATGGACAGGGCTTGTGTTAGAGTTTTCTGACAGCGGAGTACTGGATTCATTAGGCGTATGGCCACTGCTTCCACCGTTGCCAGCACCCGTTGACGTAGGCCTTTGGAGAAGTTGGTTGGTGTCCAGTAGACAACCTGGAAGGCTTCACTAGTATCGACTTGTCCAACAGGCTCGGACACTGATACTGTGCGTTTTTTTAAAACTTTGGTTTTTGTGCCTGACTACTAGGTGACCAAAGATTTGGTGGAGCTTTTAAATGGAGTGTTTGTGTTGACAAACTGCTTCAAGGCAACGAATTGACAGGACTGTTACCATTAGCACCTCGTAATGGTCAATGAATCGCCCTTTAAACCCGTTTAGACATCCGTCATAAAGGCCAAGTCAGCTCATCGTAGGCAGCCAGTTTGTGCTTGTTTTATCAGCGCTCAGCCTTGCGGTGTGGCCCATAATAAGCGTATCAACGAGTGCAAACACACACTTGCACACAATCGTGAACCTTGATTGCCAGTTGTCTGCACATCATCGGAATTGTTCCTTCGAGCTTTGCAACGCCATATTGACCAGATTCGAGGGTGTTGGTCAGTGTTCTGCCCCTGGATACTGCGTGGGCCATGACCCGTGAACACGCCTCGGAAGTACTACCTTAAATTACACACAGTTAGGCCTAGCGTTGTTGGACATAAATATGAGCCGCGCATTCCAGTGACGAATGCGTGACTGTGCCTGGTACAATAAACCCAACCGACGCATTAACGCTTAAACTGGCTGGCGCTGGATGGCCATGTGCGTTTCTGTGTTTTTTGTATCGATCTCGGAACTTGCCTATTCGTAGGGGGGTTGTCCTTTGTCCTCAAGTCGGCCTTTGGCTGTCTATCATACCCGTAAGGTACCGGTGTAAGCGACCGGTTGATTCGTGTTGATGCACGATCGCATTCTCATTGTGCCGTCTTCGGAGTTTGTGGCATTGAACTCACGCAACTCACCAGTTAGCCTCTGACACCTACTTATTTCGTCTTCAGCCTGCACTGAGGACTGTCTTCCGTCAAATGGCAGACCTCTTCATTTGTTGTCCTAGTATACTCCTTCAATTGTTTGTCTCTTCTTGTGCAACCTCCTCTGTCTATCCGTGCTCCCAAGACGCCATACTGGATTGAGTCACGGGCCAGTCTCTTTACCGTCACATTAACTAA